TCACATTTTATTATTCAATACATAAGTATATATCTGCTCTGGACAAATACCAAATTCGAATTACCTAGACTGGGCTATTCGACCACTATTTATAATGACAGCTATTTACATAAAATGGTAAGATATAGTTCCCCCTTAGCATTAACAAGCGGTTTGCTCAGTTATGTCAAATAATTGAGCAAAATATACATGTATATCCAAATGTTTTTGTTGATGCATTTTTGTGAGAAAGACATCCTCAAAGAGAAAGTTTGATCTCACACCTGGTCCGTGGTTGAGAACCAAATCCATCCCTTTAATCAAAAACTGTTTCTATGGCCATACAAGGTTTTTGCCATAGACCGCGAAATACAACTTTTGTTTGGTTACTAGGATATGTTTTCATGTGTAAATGGTATAAACTTTAAATGTTTTAACACTTACTTTTTTGTGTCAGTTCCATCTGTTACTTTCCTACCAAAGTGCGACATTTAGCGTCAAGGGGTTGCGACATTTAGCCGGCAATCGATTTGTGTGCGACATATAGCGGCAACGTTGCGACATTTAGCGGTAGGAGATTGCGACATATAGCGTTGATTGCGACATATAGCGTCAGCGTTGCGGCATTTAGCGTTAGTTGCGACATATAGCGGCGTTGCGACATATAGCGTTGCTACACACGCAACCATTGTACTATCCCTGTATTGCGCAATTTCTTGTTTACTTGTACACAGAATAACAATTTTATAGCGTCTGCAATGGGGAGTGAAGTAAAAAAAGAAGACAAATAAGAAGAAAACTGACCAACCCACCAACATGCAAACATACATAAACATACGCACGCATAATGTAAAATCTGCTATAAATAACTAATGTTTTGACTGCCTTTCCCTTGGTTTTCATAAATGCAACGGTCGATGCCGGAAATATGGACGCATCTGGTTCCACACTTATTTTGATTTAAACCTTCTAGGGTTTAAAAAACAATTTTGATATATAAATATTTAGATAAAGTTTAAAATAAATATCCATAAACTGTACGAGGATCATTCAATAAGTTATGTCACTGTGTTCCGTAGTTTTATCCTCGTAGTATTTTAAAACGCTTCATTGTAATTGAATGAGGAGTTCAATGGTTTGTTTCATGCCATTGGCGTATAAAGTGACCGAGATAATTCAATTCCAAATACTTGCAGTCATATACACTGACCAATTTACTGACCATATTGTTTAAAAGACAAGACAGAAATTCGAAGCTAAATTAAAATGTCGCATGAGCATGATAAAACTGCAACGCGGATACATGTGTATAAAGAACTGTGTTGCATATATGGTCAAAGCGCACCATCTTGAGGTAGGTCAAAGCTTTTAAAATCTGGGAAATCGTGTGTCAAAGATGACTACCGTTAAGCCTACAACATCGGTTACCAAGGCAAACATTGCTGCTCTAAAGTTTATATAGTAGATTGTCAGTAGAGGAGATAGCTAGCTGTACTGGAATATCAGAAGGTAAGATTAATTTAATAAGGGCCGATGACAAACAGTGGTTGTGAAAAAGATATAAAAAAAACGATCCTGCATTCCCCCTAAGTCTCACAAGTACAAAGATTTTGTATTCGCTTTCCTTTAATTTCAATGGATCAGTAGTAAAGTGCCTTGAACATCTGGTCAAAAGTCACTGGACAGTTCTACAAGAATTTTGAACTAGAAAAAGTGAAGGCATTTTACAATAAGAAACAACGGATGGACAGGTGTTCATCTTATTCATGATGCCTCTTCTCACAAAAGCCAGATTAATTCTGATTTCAATATTGAAGAAAAAATACATTGGAAAGAAAATCCGAGTCATAATAGATAAAGCCTGTCACATTATTCGTTGTGTTGCACATTGAGTACTCGGCGGAATGTAACGAGGGGGGAAGTAGAACCTTTCTTTAAAGCCTTAAAGGGACTCCTCCACTGAGGTTATTTGACATGACAGGACAGGAATTATTTTTCGAGATTAATGTTCCATTAGATGTAGGTCTAGCACAATTACCTGTATGCAAAAAATTAGATCATTCGCTCTCTCTGTTTTCCAAAACAATTATTCTAAATGTGGAAAATGACCCAAAATTTAAAAGCGTTGCATAAAATAAGAGTTTCAATTAATTTCTGAGTATATTTCTTAATTATCTTTTGCGTCAGCTGATCTATATAAGAAATTCAAATTTTATGTTTTAGGCTTTTGTTCCTCACTGGAGTTCTTTAAAGGGACTCCGCTGACGTTTTCATGATGTTACTGAAAAAAAATGAAACGCTTTTACTCCATTTGCGCTAAGAATCACCAATTGGACAATATAATAAATCAATGCCGATATATTTGTCAGTAATAGAAATAATAAAATTTGTTTTCAAATACAAGATTTTTTAAAATTTCGCAAATCAATATTAATATAGTTAAGCTACAAATTTATTTCAGCTGAAACAGTATTTAATCAATTGGTCAAGGTCGGGCGAGGTAAAAAAGAAAAAGAATTAAAGTAAGGTAAAAGTATGTCAGTTTATTTCAAGCTTGCACAAACCAGTTTGAGATTTATATATTCTACAGGTTTCTGATAAGGGTGTGGTGAGGTTGGGTCTATGGGTCAGGGGATCATTTTGCTTCAGAAGGAATCCGTTCTATAAAATAAAGGCGTCACTTTGTCTTTAGAATAAAGATTGGGGTCTTTGACATTCCTTTCAGTTCGTTCAGTTGTTTTCAATATGCCGAAACAGTTCTTATACTTCATTACCGAATTGAGCATTTTACACCGCAGCCTCATTTGCTATTTTGCTCATGAAAAGCAATATGATTATTTTAAAAAAATATAAGAAATTTAAAACCTTTACCAAAAAAGCCCTAGAAATTATAGCAAAAATTTTTCCCCACTTTTAAGGGGGTTGGGGAAAGGTTTTTATAAATAAAACCCCCTTTTACTAGTTTTAAATCCAATTTTAAAAGTAAACCCTAAAGTCATTTTATATCTATAACAATTTCAGAATTAAAAATCATTGAATTGAAAATGACTTTTTTCATTTGTTATACAAATCTACTGCTCTACTCATGCGTACCGGAAGACGAAATTACGAAAGAACGATAGTACGGAGACGAAAACGCGGGAGAACGAAACAACGAAGAATAGAACGTACGATGATGAAGCAATCTCCTACGCAGTTATCTCCCCTTATCAGTACAGTATGTGCCAAGGGGGGTAATTACTGTGAGTTTGGATGATGAAATGTGGAAATAAGATGGCGAAAACGAGAAGTATGTTATAAAATTGAAATAATATTGAAGTATTTACATATTGTTCAACAAGAAACTATAAATACGCATTCCGAACATGCGCTGTATCAAATTGTTTACATAATATTAAGCTAATATACCACAATGATGAAATCACATTGAATATGTACTTGAACCTAGCATGCTATATCTCCTTGGCAGTATTAAAATTTTAGATTCAAAGATGACGAATTTCTCATCGAAAAAATATGTATTTTACAATCTTACAATCTTTACATAATCGGCAGTTTACTTGAAGGTAAACTTGTCACAATACGTTTCACAGTAATCAAATACAAAAAGGAGAGGTTGTCCTCGTGTTAGATTTTTTTGTCATTTTTGTCAAAAAAGCATTTTTAAATAACTATTTATAACTTTTCTTTCAGTTATAATATACTTATGCAGAGTCCAGTTTTTGAATAATATAAGTATAAGTATGTCTCTGGGTAATGAATGACACACATATGTATAGTTCTGTCTCTGAATGACACACATATGTATAGTTCTGTCTCTGAATGACACACATATGTATAGTTCTGTCTCTGAATGACACACATATGTATAGTTTTGTTTCTCTGAATGTCACACATATGTATAGTTCTGTCTCTGAATGACACACATATATATAGTTCTGTCTCTGAATGACACACATATGTTTAGTTCTGTTTATGAATGACACACATATGTATAGTTCTGTCTCTGATTGACACACATATGTATAGTTCTGTCTCTGAATAACACACATATGTACAGTTCTGTCTCTGAATGACACACATATATGTATAGTTCTGTCTCTGAATGACACATATATGTATAGTTCTGTCTCTGAATGACACACATATGTATAGTTCTGTCTCTGAATGACACACATATATATAGTTCTGTCTCTGAATGACACACATATGTTTAGTTCTGTCTATGAATGACACACATATGTATAGTTCTGTCTCTGATTGACACACATATGTATAGTTCTGTCTCTGAATAACACACATATGTACAGTTCTGTCTCTGAATGACACACATATGTTTAGTTCTGTCTCTGAATGACACACATATGTATAGGTCTGTCTCTGAATGACACACATATGTATAGTTATGTTTCTGAATGACACACATATGTATTGTTCTGTCTCTGAATGACACACATGTTACAGCATGGGTTTTCATATATATGTTATATGATTCTGTGCGTCGACTGAGGATTATAAGCCCAATCGAATCTACAATTCAATGATTACGTGGTCGTCTCATTGATATTGGGCATCCTACTTCTCGAAATCCCTCCAGAGGCGTGCACGTCGCGAAGAAGGCACACGACAGGTCAAGGTCAAGTCATCTCAAGTACCAGAGATGATATAATAGTTTGACCTGTCGTGTCTAACTTTGGAGGGTGGCGCTGGCAAGAGCTGTTTTTTGTTAGAGATGCCCTCGGAAATCTGATGCCTTGGAAAGTAGTGTCGTCTCCTTCAACCACCAAGGACAGGTTCCGGGAAGACTCTGCATGCCAAATCGCCGCTGATGTGGGCTCTGTGATCGGACCAGCAAGTGCGCAGATAATCTGGTCCATATGGTTATTCTTGCGGCCAGTATAACAACAACGGCATCCTACACACTATGGTACGGCCTACAGCTACATAGAAAAATTACAGCTTCTAAGATGTTTTAATAATTGGATAATTAATCCGAGGAAAAAATCAAATACAAGTCAAAATACGGTTCAGGATTTTATTTATATTATCTACATGTATAGTAATTTAAGCACCTGTAACACACATACGAGTATGTATATTTTCTTTGTCTCAGAATACTGACACATTTACACTCAATAATGACACACTTATGTACCTTTTTTATCAGGATAATGATATATAGTCTTATGTACAATTTGTCTCAGAATAATGACATCATTATGGACTCTTTTTTTAAAAATAATGACACACCAAGTACACTCTCTCACAATAATGACACTCTTATGTACTCTTTGTCTCTGAATAATGAAATACATTTGTATTTACGTACTTATGTACAGTCCAGTCTCTGAATAATAACACACGTATGTACAGTCTCGGAATTACTGAAGTTTAATATATTAGATGTTAAAGAATAGTTTAAGAAAATTATATAAATCGTAAAACAAAAACAAATTTATGTCAGAACTAACATTTTCATCTCAGCTGATTTTTTTATAATCCCTGAACATGGTATTAATGTTCTTTAGGCTGTACTGTTTCGATTGGTTTGCTCATAAAATTCAAAATCCAATAGTTTCGGGCAGTATGCTAAACTTTTTAAGTAAACATATTACGATAATTGCAACTTGAAGGGTAAAATAGTACTGTTGCAACTTTTCGTAGTATCTAAATGCCCATTTCGGGTCTTTTTCAATATTGCCGAAGCACCTGTTATCTCTCCTGCACACACAGTCGGGGCACATTGCATACTCTTCGCATTCTAAGCACTCAGCGTCGCAGCAACAACCAAAAGGTCTAAAAGTGAAATATCTACAGCAGCAAGGAAAATCTTGTGTAACGGCGCAGCAATCTTTACATAGGTCATGACAACACGGTTTGTACTTCTGCTTGCATGAACTGGCACGAAAGGCATTCTTGATTGATTTGATTATTGTCAAAACAATAAGTTTCGTCATGGCAGTCAAGTCAACCTGACACTGTACGCTAAATAAGGTTAACAATATCGCCTGAGGCAGGTCGTCACAAAGAACACCTAGCACTGTTTCTATCCAACCATGAAGCAACTGAAAACCCCTGCAAGCAGGCTCTTTTTCACTCGTATTTCGCAGTTGGTATTCTAAGAGTGTTTCCCCGATCATGTTAACTATTCTCAAGCACGCGTAGGCGGTTCCTATGCCAACAAAGGTCCCATAGATTGATGTAAGGTCAACGGACCCTTCACTACATTGAGCCTTCCACGGCGATTTCCCCTTCAGACTATTTGCTGTTTCAAGCAGACTCAACCAGGCTGGCAATTCAAAATGTCCAACCCACGAGGCGAATTGCAACCAATTTAAGCAAACATCTAGAAGAATGAAAAGTGCGGAGACTACACGCTTGAAAATTATACCTGCTAAAGATGGTATGATTGTCGGCCCATCAGGGTCTGAAAAGAAGAGCAATATATTGACAAACTCGATTATAGGAGTTTTAATTCGTAAGCTTATATGCAACTTCAGTTGCGGTATATCTGAATTTCATGTCGATTGGATGGCAAAATGACATGGTAGGTTCATTATTTGATTATTTGGTCAATATAAATCTATCTTTACTTTATGAAACTGATATTAAGCATTAGAGGAGGGCCCATGATAATGTTGCATAAGTCTTTTGTATATTGTGTATGTTGATGTTAAAAAATTGACGTATATTTATATATGTAATAAAATATTATTAAATAAAAAGATCATTTGATTAAAAGTACCTTCATCTGCAGGCATAGGGGTTACTGAATCTCGTACAATGTACTGGATACCAGGGACATGATTTTGTACTGTACTGGTAACATAACCTTGTTGAACTGGTTGTATCACATACTGTACATTTCCTTGAGGTGCTGGACCCAAAGCTTGCATCTGTATCGACGTTTGACTTCCAGCATGTTGACCCACTGCATAAAACCCGCCAGGCATGTGACCTTGGTTTGATGACCGGGATGTAATATGCTGGTCAGCAGGCTCCCCATAGTAACCTTTTAAACAAAATAAATGAGAAGAAAAGATAAAAACGCTACTTTTTCATCACTGCAGCACCCGGTCAATTAGGTTTAACGTTAATAGTCATAAATAGACAACACACATGTGTAATGTCTTTATCATAAATAAAATCTGTAGATAAGAACGAGGCGACCAGGCAATTCATTTTGAAATATCAGTGGGAGTTTATTTGTTTATCATATCGATATAAAAAGTTTGCTCGTCGTGTGTTTTTATTACTAGAATTTATGACTCTCTCACGAATCCCGGAGTTATTTAAAAAAAAGATTCAAAAAGCGTGCTTCAAAAATAGGAGAACGCCTTTGAGTTACGTATAGAGTTTATTTGATTAATTTAAAATTGAAAATACTTCATCGATAATTTAAATATACAAACGTGCACATTGTGAGTTTCTGCCCACCTCCAACAGAGTCAACAAATTATAGAAATGTCGAAAAAAAATATACGAGTTTGACATCTTGTCACTTTTCAGTTTTTATGCAAAAAAATATGACTGAATAAAAAAAGATAAAAAATGACTGCACTAGATCATTTTTTATCAGCACGTTTTATTTCCGTAATCAACTTTATGTATATTATTTTGATTAACTATATGGTGATGAGGCTCGCTAATCTGTACGCAAACTATACCATTGTCCTTGTAGTAAAAAAGTAAATAATCAGACAGTGCCCTGCCCATAAGATAACGTGGGTTGTTTTGCAGGTCACAATATTAAAGAAACAATACAGTGGAAAGAAAATCCGAGTCATAATAGGTAAAGCCTTTCACGTTAGTCGTTGTCTTGCACATTGAGTAATCGTCGGAATGTTACGAGGGAGAAGTAGAACCTTTCTTTCAAGCCTTAAAGGGACTCCTCCACTGAGGTTATTTGACATGACAGGACTGATTTTTTTTAGATTTATGTTCCATTATATATAGGTCTAGCACAATTACCTGTATGCAAAAATTCAGATCATTCGCTCACTCTGTTTTTCCACAAAGATTATTCTAAATGTGTGGAAAATGACCCAAAATTTAAAAGCGTTGAACAAAATAATTTTTCAATTAATTTCTGTGTATATTTCTTAATTATCTTTTGCTCAACTTTGGCTAATGAATCACAGTAGGTGCGATTTTCAATTTCAATTTCTGCGTAATTTATATAAATTTCTAAATTATCTTTGGCATATATTTTCGTTGAAGTACCCACGTTGATCTATGTTAAAACATCGATTTTTACGTTTTTTACGACCTTCGGACCTCAGTGGGTTTTCTTTAATATTCTTGCATAAATTCTGACAATGATAAACGATTTTTTTTCTTTTAAATAGCAATACATGTCCATTTTACATATTTCATCACCTTTAATTAATTCATTCATTCTATCATTTATGGTCATGATTTAATCAACAGAAAAAAATGTGCAGGGTGAAAGGAATATATCATTATTGTACCTCCAATCAGAATACCAGAAACATATTTTGTAAAAAAATGTAATTTCCCTAACAAATACAATTGTTACGTTGGCCACACAATAGACAAAAAAAACTCTTGAGTAAGTTGAAAAATAAAATGCTATAAATTACCTTCATTAGTGTTTGCAGTATTTTTCTCCATTGCAAACTTATTTCCACACGAATGTCGGTGCGCGTTTACAACTGCTCCCGGTTTATTTTAATACGAGCATGGTATAAGTAGACCATGTCTCTTATCATTTGGAATGTGCACACAATGCAATAAACTTGTAAAAATTGTACGGGTAATATTTGAACTTTCGGGAGCTATTAAACTTCCTTGCCTTTATCTTTGAGTTTTTGTGTATTTATTTTTTGTACATTAGGATATTTCTAGTATATTTTCAGTACTTGAGGTCACAAACATTGACACAAAAAGTCTATTTCTGCGTTAAAAGACAATTTTGTTATATGTATTCTCCAATTGGAAATAGATGAAAGGAAATTCCTTTTTTACAAAATATTATTTTTTATAATCTAAATTGCATGCGCAATCTGTTACTTGGACACGACGTGCGTTATCAGCGATATCCCGACCATTTTTATGCAGAATACATTTTGGATCAACGTCTATCTACACCGCATAATTTTAGGCCAAACAAATGCTCATTAGAAAATTGGAAGTTTAATTTTAGTCTCATCTTCAATCTTTCAATTATATAGACTTTTATTGCGTTTATATATTCCTATAGACCTTTTTACGACGCGGTCCGTTGCTATGAAAAATTGACCGGAAGCAGTATTTTCTCGCGCATGCGCAATCTGCGTAGGGCAAAAAAGCGTTGCCCTACAATAGAAATGTAGTAGAAGTTCATTGATAATTCCGAGTTAGTTTAAGGTAAAAATTAGGAAATCATATAAAATAGCTTTTTACACAAGCATGAAAGATACATTTATAGCTTTGTGGCCAAATTGCTACAAAATGCACGGAAAAGACGATTGTTAAAGAATTCCCCCTTACGATCACGGACATAAAAATGAGATAATTGATGTAATTGATGTCGAAATATATATATAATCAAATAAAGAAGTTAATTTAATTGTTGTTAAAATTGTTCTTAAAAAAAAACTAAAGAAATTTTATAACATTTAAAATAGAGGTGTATTAATTATTATTCTGAAAATAAATCGGAACACGTGATAATTAATGAGTTTTTAGTTTTCAGCTTACCTAATATAAAGTAATATTATCCTTTATCCGACTTGACTGTGATGCCAAGCAGAAACTTTTTAAGACACATATATATATTTAAATAATGTTTCAAACTCTTGATAGGTTAAGATGGGTTATGAAATAACACACATTTTATCCGGTTTCTCGTAAAACATTAAAATGCACGCCACGTACACTATTTAATTGTCACTTCAACAATTTATGGTATAAACTTAAAAAGTAACTTAAATAACGATAATTTCATAATTTTATGTGATTAAATATTTCATGGTACTAAAACGTCCCGGTTGAATGATACTGAAAACTATAGCTGGCAAATAACAATTAAGCGATCACGTGTCAATCCGTTTGCCACTTACCGCCTTGCCAATCCACTTTCAAAGGAAAACCGATTGTGTAATATTATGTAATACATGGGTAATAAAATTGTTTATTAAATAACTTTACGTTTTTAGTCCTATAAAAAAGCACCTGTCACACGTTCAATAACACGATGGCCTGCCTTAAAACAGGGCCAATAATTATATCACTTTTTCGGCCCCGGGCCGAAAAGTGATATAGATATAAAGCCCGCAATTGAAGTAATTTGATTGGCTAATAAAGCAGGGCCAAAAAATGATATAGATTTCTGCAAGAAACTGGGAAATGGCAGCCATTTTGTTTTTACTCGGTCTATGTGTAGACGTAAATGAAACAAAATATTCTCAGTGTCTAAACATTCACAGTCTGACATTTTGATGTACATGTACAATATAAGTTACAAAATGTAGGTTTTTCCATACAAACTGATATAATTTAGTTATTTTTACAGTTGTTCTTTGTTACAATTAAAATGTGTTAGACCTAAAATAAGAAGAAATATCCGAGGATTAAATGTGAAATATTATAAGTACATAGAGGATATTTGTTTGTTTCAGTGTAAGATCGAAAAATATTTCACCGAGCCAGTCATATTAGAAATTATGGTAAAACTAATTCCTTCAGAAATGTTTTCACGATTAAATAAAAGATAAACATTATCTACATTTTGAGAAAAAAGTCCTCAAAAAATCTCCTTGCAGAATCCTGAAAAATCAATCATAAAGATTTAGTAAAAATCAATATTTAAATGTGTCTCTTAAATTACACCGTACTTTAACTTTATGCACGTTCGGTGACGTCACGTTTATTATATTTTCGTTGAAAGATCTGAAGTTACTTCAATTCCAGCATTCCTAGTGCAAAGGTGAGTAATTTTAGTCATTTTTATATTCTTCTGTATAAATTTTAGGGAAAAATATGTCAGTAGATAGATTTTATTGACCACCAATCAATCGATTATGCAGATGACAAAATGTGTCATATAATTTCGCGATTTTTAAACACAATTTTGAATGAAGTAATCATTAACAGAGAGTTTATCTTTTACCCATTGTTCTATATTGTTTTCTTTTGTACAATTATCTAAAATGACACAGAATTAACCACACATCTTACTGAGTATTTAAAAAAATGTGTATGCACAAGTTATGTAAATTTTTCTTCTCTACGGAAGCGTGTTGTGATCAAAATCACGAAAATCTAGGGATATTTTTTTAAAATGTTAAATTTGACTTATTTCAAAGAGTTGGCATGTTTTATGAATTGTGGAAATCATAATTAAATCAAATAATATGATAACTTGATGTAAACAAACGTATTTTGTAATACATAATGCATTTCTAAGCGAAATGATAATATTCCAGCATGTTATATGAAAAATAGGGTGTAATCAAGCTAAAACTATTTACCTATTAATGAGGAAGCTGTTACTGAAACTTTATACATTACTTTTACTTCTTAACAGATAACATGGATTTAAAACCCAAATTATTATGCCAATTATTTGATTCTTTTGTAGGTTCAGTCATATCATATGCATCTGAGAGTATGGGGTTTTAGCAAATGAAAAGATAATTGAGCGTATTCACTTGAAGTATTGTAAAAGAATTTTAAATGTTAGAGCCAATACAAGGAATGTTCGTATATACGGCGAACTTGGCCGTTACCCATTGTATATAAACCGATACGTAAGAATAATTAAGTTTTGGTGCAAATTGATAAATACTGATAATATAATTTTACGGAAAACATATGAATAAGAATTTAGTTTATCTGACTGTTATAAAGGTAAAAACTGGGTATCAAATGTTAAAAAAATGCTAGATATATATGGTTTATCCGAATACTTTTTGGAAAATAATATCGTAGATAGTAAATTATTTCCAAAAATATTTAAACAAAGAGTTATTGATAATTATATACAAATATGGCATTCATCTGTAGAAAATAATTCTGTTTTAGAACTTTATAAAAATTGTAAAGAATTATATTTATACGAAAACTATCTTAACATATTACCAAAGGATCTTAGATTTTACATCACAAGAATTAGGATGTCTGCACATACACTAAGAGTACAAACGGGTTATATGGTCAGAATAGAATCCCAAGGAGTGAAAGATATTGTTTATGTTGTAAGAAGATGAATACCATTTTGTTTTGATATGCCCATGCTATGTTGACATAAGGAAAAAAATATGTGAAACGATATTATTACAAATGTCCGTCAATGTGTAAATATTGGACTGATTTCTTCTAATAATAAAATTATACTCACTAATCTAGCTAAATATTTGAGAGAATCGATTAAAATCAGGAACATTATTGTTAGTACTAACAACTGAATTTTGAAATTTTGTTACAAATTTATACTAAAAATTCAATTGATTTGTTGTATACTCTGCGTAACAAATTGTTTTATATTAAAGTGTTAATAATATTCTCTTAAATCATTATTGTTCATTCTCTAGCTTTACATGAAATTCAATAATATATATAAAATCCTATATTATTTGTTAAATAGAAACGTGACATCTTTACAATTTGTGTATTTATATTGTAGTGATGATGCACTATGTACAAATCCAAAATAAAATTCTGTTCTGTTCTTTACACAGTTTTATATCTTATGTTTTAACTATTTTTATTCTATCATTCTAGACAATTTGGATAAGTCTAATTTATAATCTAATGTCAAAATGCAATAGATTTCACTTATCAAAATGGTTTTAAAACACAAAATTTACTTAAATACTAAGATTACATATTCAAAGAGAAAATTAAAATGAGGTGTTAACAGACCAGACTTCAAAATTGCATTTGATATAGATTTTAATTATATCTTTTCCGATCCTAAACCATTTTATTCTTATTATAACATATTAAATTTGCTTCAATTGTTTTCTTTTAAATAAAATGTAGCTTGATAATCTACCCTCACGATACCAGTGCCAGTTGTATGTATATTTTAAGTAATGTTTTCCATGTTGTTGTCAGCATTTATAGAACAGTTGTTGTATAATTAGTTAGAAGATGGATAGGCACGTGACTTCTACACAAGGGGTAATGGGATGTGAGAGAAAAATGGCTTTTCACGTATATATATCTTATTGAATGAATGAAAACAAAACAATTAGGTGTCTTTCAGGTTTGTTAATACAACAGAAATTGATATATCAACACAAATTTAGATCATTGTTTTACAGCATGATTATAATAAATGCACATACAAAAGAGTTTGCTCATACCAACATTTTCTCGGGCGTTTCCCTACTATATCATTTCAATACTATTTAACAAATAAAACATGACCTTGAGGGCAATATGCAAGTTTGCGGACTGGTTGGTCAGACTGAGGAAGGTATATGGCCCGAAGCGCAGCTTTCACCCCTGAGTACGGACCCCGGACGCCGGACATGTCGCCAATTATGTCCTTAATTGCCAAATGGTGACCTATTAATTTTGCATTCAGTAATTCACTGAATGCGACTAAATATATTGTTTTATTCTTTCTATTTGATATACAATATGCATGATTAATACACTTGTTACTATATATAGTAACAAAATTGCCTATGATTTCAACTGATTATGTCTGTCACGTGACCTATTATGAGTTTGCTGCCCGGGGCCGAGAACTTGTTATCAGCCCGCTGAACATGTGCACGTGCACAAACTGAAACAATGACGTCATATT